TTATGTTTTCTGCAGGCTTTTTAATGGGAACCTTTCATGGACATGAAATAATACAAGATCTGATTTTCTTTGATGGTGGAAATACCAACAGCACTAAATCTCATATTATTTTTAACCCATAAATGCTTCTCTATGTCAAGAAGGCCCATGAAAAATAAACATATAAATATTGAGGCGTTAAGAGATGTTATGAACACTGACATAGCCAGATTCCTTTGGATCTTCTTATACAGCCCAATATACATACATACATGTATTCATACACACACGCACTCACACACACAGTTCCGTAAATCTGTTTTAAGAGTCAATGTAACTACATGTTCTGGAGTAATGTATGTCACATCCAGCTTCATGTGTGAAACTTTTAAGATTGCTTTTACATATGGCTAGATTTCAATAGTCATGTATTAGAAGTCAATTTTCAATAATCTTATAGTGAGGATAAGCCATATACACTTAAAATATTTCCATAGAGCATTACATGTTGACTTCATGACAGATATGATATTCTGAAATGTGGCCTTTTTTTAATCATTAAACACTATTCTAATGAGCAGTTGGAATTAATCTTGGGAGGAAAAAAAACCCTACTGATCTTACACCTGCTCTTTAGCAGTGGGAAGTGGGTTCTCAATCTGTTAACATGACCATCTGGCCAATCTGCATATCGTGGCTATCTGTACGATGGAATGGCAATAATGTAGCCAAAATAAAACCAAAATGCATCAAATAATAGCAGTGGAATATTTCTTTTGATTTAAATTAAATAATCAATGGTGTCTCAGAGAAACCCAAGAAAGTAACCTAAATAATTAAAAATGAGCTGTCACTACAACATTAAGTAAACAATATGGTGTAATGCTGTGGACACTGGTAGCACTTTACACTGTAAAACACTGTACTTTTGCAGAGCAGGCGTTTAGGATGCTGTGACAGCTCTTTTCATGATGTAGAGTACTGTTAGAACACCTTCCACATTACAGATACATACTGAACAACTGAAGCTATTAACAGAATTAATGCAGTAACAATCAATAACAACTGCAGTAAAAGATGGTGGCACAAAGTGTTATGTACCTTTCTAACTTGGAACGAAAAGATACTTACACTGATAATCTGAGTACATGAAAGTATATTTCTTGCATGTCCATTATTTCAGTTAATACTCCTTTATTACAGCCTAAGTATAAAGCACCATCAACTATGGCATAAAATGTATCTATTTTAAGTTTAAAGTCCTGTATATATATATATATATATATATATATTATTATTACAGAATAAATTATCCACAAAAGGTATTTCAGTGCTCAGTGAACTTTCAGTTATACAAATACATTAGACTTCTTATTTCCAGCTCGGGTTCATTTTTTTATTCTATTTTAAAATCAGTAAAATGATTTAAATAAAAAAATCTCAGATTTATTAAAAATTACCATATTGAAATGTTCTTCTGAAAGATTAAAGATTGTGAGTGGCAAATTTCTAACTAGCTTTAATTCTTAGCTAGAATGGATAACGTCTGTTAAAAATAATCAAACATTGCATTGTTATCATTTTGTGGCCTATAGATTACAACCTAGCTTTGTCCACTAAAGAAGTCTGAAAACTCTGACCCCTCAGAAAATTTAACTACTTCAGCTGTGAATCTTTTCTACAATCTGATCACATTAGCAGAAGTAACTCTGAAGCAGTAAAAGACTCAAGAAAGTTCTTGGTTGAGTGCTTACTAATGAACAAAGGTTAACTTTATCTAAAAGGTCAAATGCCTGGTGGCTAAGGTTATGACCTTAACAACTTAAATTGTGACCTTGGCACGTGCCTGGTTTATTGTAGACTCTGATACAGATCATCTGGTAAAGTACTAGTCATAAATTAGCTTTACTGTTACACTCCCACAAAGAAAACGGTTTGCCACAGTGGTTTCCAAGTTGTCATTTGATACATGTGCAGAATAAATGAAAATTTAAAAGCAAACACAAGTTAAGGATATGAAAGTGCTTTTCTTAAACAGGTTACAAGCTGCAAATTGAAGTTGATGCTCTATATTTCAATACATTTTTGGTCATCTTATAATTCAGAAAACACCGGGAGTCTCTGTTTTCTTACAAAGATGGCATGCAATTTACGTAGTCACATACTTAAGTTTTCTTGTTGTCTATACGGTATTTCTTAAAAGAGAATAATTCATTTCTGCAGCTGAATGTGCTTTGTCAGAAGCATTATTTAAAACAAGCATATGTATTCTCTTAATGGATGAGAGTGCCCAACTAAAGAGGAAGCCTGGACTCAAAGCAATAATTATTGTATATGTTTAGATGGAAAGGAACATCTCACTGTCGAAATTTTCTAGAATAAGGCATTGTGAAACAAAATCAAATCACTCACATAAATAAATAAATAAATAAATAAATAGAAGCGAGCACTATAGGTGAAAAGGCCACAATGGTTTTGGCACATATCTTAAAGCACGTTTCAAAGTCTCTGCCTCCTGCCAACACTGGCAACTTCTCAAAACTTTTAAGGAGGTAAAAACATTGTTTAGTGTTTACAAATCTTCTGCACGATAGCAGATGCCTGTCAAATCAGCTATATGTAAGTTGACCAACCTACCTAATATTTGTGTTGGCAACTTCCACGGCATAAATAACAGGTCTGTAAATCTCTGAAATCAAGTCTGAAATATTCTGAGACAAAGGACGCTCACTATTTTCTTTTGTCATTTTCCTGTTGCGCACACAGCATTAGCTGCCATTACTGCGGTTCTCTGAGAGCCAATCACCGTTGAGTTGGCCAGCATTCAGGCGTACAGAAGAATCATGGGATATATCAGAGGAAAACAAAAAGCCAAAAAGGTAGCCTGATCCATGATGCTTTCATTTTGTCTTTTTAAGACAAATACTTCACTGCAGAGTTCCTAAATATAATTTGACCTTGCCTTATGATTATATTTACTAACATCCTAGCACAAATGACAGCAATATCAGTTTAACGTAATATATACAATCATTAAACAGCAGTGAGAGATTTGCAGTTTAAAAGGGGCTATATTTAAATAAAGAAAGATTAAGTCTAATGTTTAAGTTCCTGTGACAAAAGTTTAGTCCAAAGAACAGTAAGTGCAACCGCAGTCAGTTTTTGATGAACACAGAAATTAACAAGGGTTCACTAATCACTGCCACTGGTTACCACTGTCATATTGATAAAATGGAATGCTGCTAATCAAAATATTATTAGTGTCTTCAAACAGCTAATGTGTGATTTCCTCAACAAAAAACCCTGTCACTTCAGGCCTCCTTATATTACATATGCACTTAGTTTAGCTGCTAATCTGTCTCTGTCTCACAACCATATTCTATCTAGACACATACAGAATGACAGACAAAAAGGATAAAGTGCATTCAGATTTTTAAGGTAGGAGGTCACTGGTTTCTTCTGACAATTTACAGTGCTTTTCAGACGCCTGCATTTAATTCATGAAATATGACACTAACTAAACAATATTACTGCTAAATGTAAGTCTACATGAATTGGTCATTCCCACCATACCATGTAGAAAATAAATCAATCTGCCTATAATATTTGCCTACATTTTCTTCTCCAGAAATGTGATGTGTGATTATCAAATCACATCTAATTACGAAAATTTCATAGCTTAACTATGTAAAATACCACAATAATATCCAAATGAATATCTAACTATAGCATATATCAATAAAGTTCCCGAAGTGATATGATGTATTGCAACAAATACTGATTTACTGCAGACAACTTTCAGATAGTCAGCACTCTATGTATCACCTCCAAAAGAATACTGGATAGATGCAAGACTTCTTATTTATTTATTTATTTATTTAAGTTTCTACTGATAAAAGTCCACTGACTTTTTTTTGTTCACTTCCCCCACACCCTGCGCCTTCAACTCCCTCCAGCCCTCAGGTTTTAATTACTACTGTGAATGAAATCTAATGATACTAGTACATTATATGAAACGTCAACAAGCTCCAAAAACTTAGGACTAACATTTCATACAAAGCAATTCTGTCTGAAATAAAATTTAAAGAAATGCTACAGTATGTTATTTGATCCACTTTACCAACTAAGTAGCCTCTCAATATATTAATATTCACAGGCAGGGTGTGGTTTGCATTGGAGTCACAGACAAGAAAGCGAATTTTATGACATGTAAAGGTATTTCTGCTCTCCTGAATGCAATATTGTCCAACAAGCCGTCAGTTCTTAGTATCAGTCAGATTCTAAATGTATTCATTTATTGTATGTTAGTAACATTTTTCCTGATGACTTTACTTTTCCCACTTGATAACACATACATTTATTTTAGCCATAATCCACACTGGCGCTGTTTCATTTATATATTTATGCAATTTCTTATTTTTTCTCTTGGGACTAATCTTGCAAGGCGCTGAACACCTACACTTATCACCCATGTAAATATGAGCTGAAAACACTCATTGGGTCTTACCACCACTGGGCTTTTGACACTTTTATTTCTCTGAATTTATTCGTTATATGTCACCACACACATACAAAATTTTAAAAAATGTTCAGCCACCTTCTTCCTCCATAAGGTCCATTTTAAACATGCCTCTAGACAGTTCTAAAGAACAGCCTTTAACATTTCCTGTGCTAATATTCATGTCAGCCACTTCTTAAAGCAGTTTAGATGTGCCAAACATTTGATTTCTGTTAGATATTAGAAAACTAACATATCTTGACACTACTACTTCTTAAAGGCAACAGAAAGTGGGAGAACTCTTGTCCATTCACAAGAGAACAGTGGTATAGACTCTCTGACTGGTTAGGCCCGGAACTGGAGTAAAAACCATGCTGCCAGCCACATTTACATGGCACATATTCTCCCAAGTTCAAATACTGACTCATACGGTCTCTGACTGGTCATGACAGTCAATTCAGATGGTACAGCAGTGGATTGTAAACACACAGAAAGTTGGACAACTTTGCATAAATGCACTTACCTGCTGCGTGCACAAAGTATGCCAAATATAAATCGAGTTCCTTAACAGAAACTCCTATATGATGTGGCTGTACGCACAGCCCTGGATTAGAGCACTGTGGGGACTTTACAAGGCGTTCGCCATCAGTACTTTCGAGCGGAATACCTTTAAATAAAATCACCATAACAAGGTCCAACCTCCAGACCTTATCTGCCTGCCGTAGGCAGTCAATTCTTCTCATCTTGCCCTTCTGGTCAGGATTGGAAAGAACACAACATGGAGGCTTTTTTCCTGTGACTGTGAGAACAAAATCCTCTCGGTACTCAGGCCTGATATCTTTCCGAAGCTTTGCCAAAAGTCTGGATGCCCACTTTTGTTTGACCTCAGGTTTTTCGCTAAGCAGTTCATCCTTCACTGCTCTCTCTTCCTCTTTTGACATGCGTTTTTCATGTTTTTTGAAGTATTTTCGTTTTCGGGCTTGCAGGTTGAACCACGTGTACGCAAATGCTCGGACATGAGGCAGAAGTGCTTCAATGAAGGGATGAAATTCATCCTGGAAAAAATGATAAAAGAATTATATGGATGTCATGAAAACACGAATCAGACACAAGGTTCAAAATACTTCCTTAAAGTAATACTTTAACACACAAGAAATGAACATTCACTAGAAGTGTAAATTAAGTAATGACAATGTGTATATACTACACAGTGCAGAAAATACAATTACTTATGTAATCCACACATATATAAACATATATACAGAGTTAGCCAACAGACTATAACACCATATCACAGAGGATAGAAAACAACTAAAATATATGTAAGTGAGGAAGATTCTGTAGCTAGCAGAGACAGTTCCAAAACTTAAAAATACTAAAAACTGAAATAAAAGTTTACAAATATGTAAGTGTAGTGACCTCAATCCATTTTCAAGGAATGCATATCTTACATCGCTCTCTCCCTGACCCTGCTGCTTGTGGTGTAGCCAGCATATGCCCGCCAAATTGGCAATTTCTAAACATTTGGATGCCAATCAATGTTTGTATGGGGAAGTCTGAAATACAGCAAAACTTTCCCAAAGACATATTTGGAAATGGTAATCTGCAGGGTCATAAAATTTCAACATAAACTGTTTTATACTACAATACAGGGTGATTCTAATCTCTATGTTTACTGGACCACTAGAAATGGTAAATAATGTAACTAATTTGCAAATTTCTCCAGAATTAAAACTTAGAAAACTCTACCCTTATAATTCAAAAAATTGTTTGGTGTATATGTATCTTACCAAAAATTATAAATCTGATATTGTGCCAAGAGTATAAGACAAATTTCTCCTTGCCTTCTATTAAAAAGAGAGAGGGGGGAACCCTCTATATATATATGAAGGCATTGCCAGAGAGATCCAAACTCAGAAAATGATTTATTTTTGTTAATACATTTTGGTTTATTTTTCTTAATATATTTTAAAGGGATTTACCACGTTTATAATTCTTTTTTCCACCTGAGGACATTGCTTGCCTTTAGTAACAATTTTTTAAGTTTATTCAGACGGAAATAATCACTGTTAAAAAGTTTCTTGAACTTGACTAAATATGTTAAAAAAGTTCCATATATTTAACGTTTTAAACAAATAAACATAAATCAGACAGGGATATCAAAATACGTTATAATTCACTATATTCTGCTTGTTACGTTTCTCTATGTAATACTGTTATGATATGTCACACTACCTATAGAAAAGCATATACATTTTGAGGACCCAATTCTTATGCAAGGGACTAAATTCACTTATGAGGTCGAAGGAACTAGTCCCATGAACGAAGTTACTACCATTTACAGGATTGGGTCCCACAGGGCAAAAAAACAAAAAACCTGAAATCGCACAAAGCTTTCCATATTAAATTCTAATTTATGTCCATTCTTGCAAAGTGATAGAGGATTGGAGGGGGGAGGGGATTTAACTGAATTTCTTCTTTTACATTCACTCAGTAGACTATGTCATGTACCAAAATAATTTTATATCATCAAAAATAACATTGTTAAAATGTACTTCTTCTACAGCTCCAATGGCTTATGTTTTTAAATTGGCTTTGCTGCTCAAATAAATACAAACAAAAACGATAAATCAGTGATAAGAACATTATTGTAGCAAATTCCTGACAGAATTCAAAACCGTATATTAGATTTCTAAATAGCATAATTGCATGTATTCTATGCGCAACCTAAAATGTAACTATTAAAATAGGTAAACACCTTTCGATGTTTTAGAAAAACGGAGATTATTAGAAAAAAACAGAAAATGAAAGGTAGTTCAACACAGCACACCAGTGCGGGAGTCATTACGAATATGAATGGTTACTAAAATATAATAAGTAAAATGCAATAAATTACTTTGGTGTGTGACATTTTTCCCCCTCTACTAGAGAAGATCCTGGTTTCAAATTTCAGTAAAGTAAAAAAAAAATTGCTACTAGCTTTTAGGCAGTAGTTTCAAGAAGCAAGAGAAAGGCAGCAAACATAACACATGTAAGCTGTACTTTCACAAATGAAAAATAGCTTTAGAAGAAACAAGGTAAAAAACAGGCAGGTCACCATAAGCTGTTAAAAAGAATACCCTTCTGATCCTTAACGTTCTTCACTCCCCTCCCCATTAAGAAGAGCCGAGAGTGTGAAAAGGCCTTCCGCTAAGTCAAAGTTTATCTACTAGGGTATACACACAAGTACTGAAAAGAACGACGTTGAAATGGAGGATCGTTTTAAGCATTAACAAATTCTAAATACATCTTGGTTTATGCAGAAATATTTAATATTCTGCTTTCAACATTACTTTTTATTGACTGATCTTATATAATCATGACTTTTTTGGACACAGGCTAGATACTATCCAAAATACTATTCTTTTAGTCTTAAAGATAACAGAAAATCTTAAAGAGGGAGAAAAGGAAAGAAACAGGATGGAAATGACTTTAAAAGAACTCAGAACCATTAGATGGCCTAAAGAGTAGGCTGTAATTTTAAGCAGTTCTTAGTCTGTATTAAACAGCTATATACTACACCATATATATAAACACATAACATAATCACATAAATAGTCCAATGTGATTTTTCAAAATAAGATACACTAAGCAAAAAGGTTAACTCAAGAACAGAAAACTGATACACTAACTCGACCAGTATTTCTAACTATCTTCATAAACATATTCCCCTTTAAAATCAACCTACCTAAATCTCAGTGACAAGGTATTAGCAAAAAATGAACAGGGATAAAGGAATCCACTACCAATCCAGCCAAATTTGATGTTTCATTCTACACAATAAAGTTGTTTCAATATTATAATACCAAAAATGTAGCAATGCAAGAGCGACTGTTCATAAATGTGCAGGTCTGATCACATGATCACAGCAATATTTAAAGATTTAAAGGAAATAAGATTATTTTTGTTGTTTCTCAGGTGAAGTAAAAAAATATTTCAATAGTTTAGTTTAAAGACATTATTATCTCCTTTAACAATTAAATGTTATTCTAAAAAATAAAAGGCATCATGAATGTATTTCATACGATTTTTTAAAAGACGGTGATAAAAAGTAGTTTTTATCTTAAAACTTTCTCACAATTTGTCAATATTGTGCTTCAAAGCACATTCTGCATCTAAAAGCTGGGCCTCACAACTATATGTTTATAAAAATCATCACGTACTCTTAAAAACTATAAAATCTACTGACAAAAAAGTGTGAAAATCCAGATCAGAATTAAAAGAAATAAAGTGATGCTTTAGAGTAATTGTTTTACATAAGATTTTTATGTGAATGTGTTTGAAAATAAGTCAGATATAGCGAGGGCAACATTTCTACAAGCCATGTTCCTAGAAATGTTTGTTCATAAATCTATAGAGCTACATGAGTATCCAAAATATTTTCTGGATATTCAGTAAGGGAGTGAAACAAATGATATATCTATTTTACTTATAAATTATACAAAACTCTATATCAGGTACATAGTTATGTCATTTCGATTACATTTAACTAATGTGTTTTATGACCATTTTTTAATCCACTTTCTAAGGTTTTGCCTCTAAAACTGAGCCAAAACTTTAAAAAGCACTTATTTCAAAACGTACATATCTCTCTATATATAAATCTTTTGTTAATTCTGTCAAGAAAAAAAAATGAAGCCCTTATTAATGATTTCGTATATACTTTGTGTGTATAATGATAGAACCACATAATTGTTCCATTCTCAATGTGGAGTTTTTAAAGAGGGCATCTCAATTCCTAAACTACTTTTCCAAATCTGCAACAAGAAGGCAAGAATTTTGGAACAGAATGACACGATGGTCAATACTATAAAATATCCCAAATTTATCATAAGTCTTCTTTTTAATGTCCCACTGGGCCTACTAAAACAGGATTACTTGCATGCAGTTTGAAAAGAGAATAGTATATGGCTGCTTCTATGAAAGTTATGTTATTACCAATTGTCCAATACCTGAAACAGTAGTAGATATTTACAAGTTACATTAATAAACTTTGACCAGAAAGGTACATGGTTTGAACTCCCCCCTCCTCCATTTCACTGTAGCTCACAAGCCTATTTCATTTTATCTACCTTCTGCCTACAATCAACGGTAAGATTACTACCATGGTAAATTTCCAACCTACAGTCACTTTGGATACAATAATCACAAATGCATCAATATATGGAGAGAAAACTTTTAAAGGTATTCAGGCTACTTCTGAGAGCTATCCATTCCTATGGTAGGAATCAGCCATTCTAGAGAGAAAATAATTTGAGGGGAGATATATATGTGTATGTATATCTAAAATAATAGGAATAACGTTCTCAGAATCCTATATAGCAGGAAATAGACTTGGGTCTGAGTCCACCACAAAGTATTTCCTCATTCAAACTGTTCTGCTAATTGAAGGTGTACAATTTAATGCTTGCAATAACCTGGATTAAAAGGGAGGGAAGAAGGTACTTAATTGGAACTAAATAGAAATTATCCTCCTTATGAAGAATAGTCAGACTAGAAGGCAACTAAATCCCAGACAGGATTACAGAGTTATATACAGGGGAGAGAAAGCTTTGGAGAGAACAAAAATCACATCTCGCTTCAGCTTCATGCCTTTTAATAGTGAAATTAAAAATGAAAAATGCCACCACCGGATCTGAAGCTGCAAAAGCGCAATCCCTTGCCTGAGGAGGTATAGAGGGAGGGAGGGAGAGAAGGTTGGGAAGAAAAGTTGCCCGAAGTCCTGAGCAGTTTAGCGGAGCTGGAGCAGCAGCAGCTAGCGCAGCAGCTGTGAAAGGAAGAGACCGTCCGGAATGGAGGGCAAGTCTAGGGCTGAGCGTCAGCACACCAGCTTCAACTGCAGAGATCCAGGGCAATACAAGGGGGAGTATGCAGAGGGGAAAGGCATCTGGAATAATCATGTTAAAAATAACACAGAGAGGCAACTTTGCCACCCTCAGGGCACGAGCAACATTGTGGGAAGCACGGACTGAACTTGCAATGCAAACTTCCCCCGCGCCCCTTAACATCCAGGCAACTGTGACACCCGGGAAAGTGACAAGGCAGGACATTTACAGGGAGCAGGACGAGCTCGACCAACGGAGGCTGCAACTACAGATTGTGCCTGGGGTGCAGTGTCTGGAGCTGTAGATCTATGCACGGCTGCAGGCTACTTACAGCTATAGAGCTGTGCACGAGAGTACAGTGAATGTCCAGCTGTAGACCTATGCAGGAGTGCAGTACGTGCAACCATACGTCTCTGCATGGGTGCAATGTGTATTTTTTATATACATGGCTATAGATCAGGGCAATGTATATAGCTGCAGATCTATGCGTAGGCGCTATGTATATAGCTATAGGTCTAGGCATGGACAACGTAACAAATACTCATAGGCAAACCTTAACCGTATCTACCAACCATACCCTTAAAAACAGAAGTGTGGACTTCAGGGAGGGAAATCAATGTAGACTATGCAAACCTTACGTCTTAAAATAGAAAATGCAGCAGCTTTTTAATGCTACATTAAAAAAACAAGCCTGAGCACAGCTTATGTTTTCATGCATTACTCTCATCGGAAGCACAAACAGTGAGTATTGACTGCAGATGACCAAGCATGTCCTGGGCTGCAACCCTGCTAAGCACGTGCAGGTCTCCCTTCCCCCTCCCCCGCCCCGCCAAAAAAATTGCCTCGAAGCAGAAAAACCCCACTACCAATATTAATTAAACCATTAATAAGTAGGCGCCATTAGCCATGTGCCTACACAAATGGCCGTGCAAGAAGAGGAATGCAACCCAATGTGGAAACAAAGTTACTTTTCTGTGGTGGGTGTTTGTGTGGTTTGGAGGTGTGTGTGTGTATGTGTGTGTGTGTGTGTGTGTGTGTGTGTGTGTGAAAGAAAGAGAGAGAGAGAGAGAGAGAGAGAAAGAAAGGGAGAGAGAGAGAGAGAAAGAGAGAGAGGGAGAGAGAAAGAGGGGGGGAGAACCTAGCCTGCTTCTTGCTTTCACATTTCCAACTCTGCTAAACTGCAGCGAGCGCTGAGCAGCTCCATGAGCTGAACTTTAACCCCGCCTAGACTTTCCCCTACACTACACACTATACATGTCTACTGTACACAGGCGTTAAAGGCATAGCACACGCTTCCCACCCACCCCCAGCTTCCAGCAGCGAGGCCAGGCTCCCCGGGAACCTGCCAGCCCCCGCCTCCTGCTCCTGCTCCGCTCTGCACCGCACCAAGAGCAGCAGCAGCATGAGCTGAACTTTAACCCCGCCTAGACTTTCCCCTACACTACACACTATACATGTCTACTGTACACAGGCGTTAAAGGCATAGCACACGCTTCCCACCCACCCCCAGCTTCCAGCAGCGAGGCCAGGCTCCCCGGGAACCTGCCAGCCCCCGCCTCCTGCTCCTGCTCCGCTCTGCACCGCACCAAGAGCAGCAGCAGCTCGCTGGCTGCCTTGCCCGGGGGAGGGAGGGGAGGGGAGAGGGGCTGCAGTGCTCTGCTCGGCCAGCCCTCCCCTATCCCCGATCCCAGCTCTCAGTGCATTACTGGGTAACGCAGGCAGAAGCAGTTACAGGCAGGACTCACGGGCAGCTATAGGCTACGCACTGTACAGGATGTGCCTGAGCAAACAAAACTACTTTTCCACATTGCTAGCCCCCCACCCCCACCCGCCCGCCTCGCTCCTTTCAAAGGCTATCAAGGAGAGGGCCTAAAAGGACGGGAGGAACTTCCCCGAGCTCGCCAAGAAAGAGCTTTTACAGGGCTACCGCTTGTGCAGCCTCTGTACTGCGTCTGTAGCGCCGCAGATGCAAAAGTCTGGGAACATTTTGGGGGCAGCTGTTGGCCTTGCAGACGCTCCTCGGAAGAGAGGGATATATTTAATTACGCATCGTAAACTCAAAACTTTTTTGCAGGCACCGTGTTCATTAGCGGAGGTCTTGAAGTTGGCTGTTTTTTTACACGTGGAAGCTTCACAGATTTTTTTTCTGAACTGTTGAAGCGAATAAGTTATAAGCCCTGCAGTGGGTGCAGTCCGCTAGGGCTGTTTGTTTGTTTTTTAATTAAGAAAAGATCTGCACACCTTAGTACGGTTCAGGATCATAAATAGTTTAGCAATTGGAACGTCTTTTAAAGTAAAGTCCCTTGCAAGACAGAATAGGGGTGGGGGTGGTAAAATGTGTTCAAAACTTTTTAAATGTCTCTTGGCATGTGATTGTTATTTTATATAAAAACACTTTATGATAAGGGATGCTTAGTTTAAAAATGCACAACCTCATGAGTGTGCTCTGCATTTATCCTCCTCCCCCCCCAAAGTAAGAGTAAAGCACTTAAAATAGAAACGAGCCTCCTACCACTTATTTAGGCTATAACGTTCTGTTTTGGCACAAGGAACGATTTGGTTTTTTGGGTTTGGAAAGTTTCCAGGCAGCTAGCCTTTCTCGTGTATTGAGTCTTATATTTTTCTCTCCGGTCTAACATCAATATATCTCCTGCATGGAAGATTCTTTCTCCTCTTCCTCTTCCCAACGAGCAGCAGCCTGCAGACACTTACAGCGCCACATCCATTCATAACACACACACCCAAAGGAAAAGAGACGCCACAAAAAAACACCGCAAAAATCTCGCGTGGATGGGAAATGCAGGTGCTGCATTTCAAAATGTAACCCCTTGTAAAATCAAGTTCAGGAGTTTTAGTCCCTTTTGCTCTTGCAGATAAAAGAAAAGGCTCTGTCAGGAAATCGGGTGTAAGAAAAACTAACACAAATTATCTCCTTAAAACTGAATGATTTTTCCTAATTTCTGTTCCCTCACTACTACGTCACTAAAATTGCTGACTGAAAATAGATGTTTGGTGTTTAATAAGGGCAATGTTTGATGGAAGCTCTCTACAAGCCTTTATTTAACTGGAGATGCCCTGAACTAACCGAACAATGAGCTGTTTTCACTCAGTGCTTTCTTTTGATAAAAGGGGGTTGTAACTGTTAGTCAAATAATGACAAGAAACACTTTCAGCTAAATATTTGCTACTATATATCACTTCATTGCTCTCCAAGTTTCCTCAACTGAAGTTTCTGGCTGACAGCAAGCTCAGTACCTGACACACAGAGCGCATACCTTAAAAAATAAATCAAAACTCTTCTATAACTTATTACAACTTTCTTGTGCTACTATGAAGTTTACATTTGTCCCTATCTAGAGCCCTGCAGCACGAATCTTGTGATACACACAGTAAGATCTCATTTATTTAAACAAAAAGTAATGTTAAGAATCAAGTGAGTCGGTGGGGGTAATTTCTATTTTGGGGTACAATCCTGCGTTCCAGTTCAACTCAACTACAAGCCACCATAGAGTTTCAGGAGTCACTCCAGGATAATGAACTCCACAGGCATGCTAAGTTCAAGAGGGATGTGGGATCGGGCCCCTAAAGTCAGGCAGGCAGCCTAGCTCCAAGGTTTCCAGCTTTTTGTGGTTAGCAATATTATCTTAAGTAACTTTTGGCGCCCTTCGTAAGACTTTTGGACGTGGGACGCTTGTTTGCGCCCTCTAGGCAGAGGCTGCTGCATCCAAGTTCAGCACCAAACCCCTTCACATCCGCTTTCCCGAATCCAGCACACATTGTGCACGCTTAGGCTCCACGCTGAGAAACTCTAGGATCATGAGCATACATAAAAGGTAGGAGAGAAGGAGGCTTTGCACACAACTTCTGGCCCCAACAGGCTCCGAACCTCCTTTCGCCCAGTGAAAGTTCCAACAGGAATATTCAAACAAAGTGTGGCGGGATCTGGAGGGTGGAGTCCAAGAGAAATCACTGTCTGGGAGTATAAAAGCTATTAAAAGTCACGCAGGAATGGGGGCGGGGAAACAGTTTAAAGCAAATTCCTTAATAACAACAAAATAAGCGAGGCACTAAAGCAAACCTGGAAATCAGGTGTTAGAAAGGAGACTTTGGAAATGGGGGGGGGACTTCGGTCATGTATTTTTGAAAGTTCTATAATCTGCCTTGAAACGGGTTGTCTGATTAAAAAAAAAGAAGACCGAAAGAGACTTCTGACATGATCCTGCTATCCACATTCTTGCTGGCACTTTGCCCGGCATTGCATTTGCAATGTTTTATTTGCAGAAACTTTACCTTGCCAGCGTTAGTGAAATCCTCTTAGATATATAAATTACGTCAATAAGAGTTCACTAATACGTACATCTGAACTCTCATTTCGGAGGTACTTAATGGTGAGGCCGTATGAGTATGATTTAGACTTTGGCGTGCAAAACGTACTGAAGTCTGAACTGGGATAATACTCAGCATTCACACTGTGCACAATTTCTTTGCCAGGTACTTACTTCGTGGAGGAAGTTCCCCCCGCCCCAGCTTTGTTGCACTTTGGTTACTACGAGCCACTTTCTGGGCATAAAACACTAGCTATTAATAAAACAAATGGTTCAGGTCACGGTCACTGACCCTTTGAAGGCAATTTGTACACAACTAAGTGCCATGTATTAATTTTGTGACACCAAAATCTGCCTTAAGTAGCAAACGGGGAGACTTAGAGGTCAACTCTTGAGGAGTTATTTCCAAAGAGTTAAAAGAGCCCAGTTCTAGTTCTAGGGAACTTTCAAACAGGACTA